TCTTGTCAAGACAATTCATTTCTATATTGTCCATACAGACTGGGTTTCGGGAGGTATGTTTTTTCATGTGCTGGACCGCCTGGCACCCCAACTGGGTGCCTCCACCAAACAGTGCCTCCTGTCCTCCAAACCCTTCCAGCAGACCAATAGCTAATACCAGCCCTTTACCATAAGCGTCATACACAGACATGATATGGAAGGAAGTAAAACCAAAGGAATCACTTTATGAACATAAATACAGGTTTTTAGAAACTTCAAAAATAGGGGCAGTCACCATTTGAACAATAAAAACAAATATAAACATCCTACAATGGTTAGGTAAATAGGTGAAGTTGACACAAGACTAACTACATCCAGAGAGAAACAATAGGATACTCAATTAACAATGAGAATTCACACCTAGGAGGCACACAATGGGGAAATAACAGTGGAAGAAAGACATTTCACACCTAGACTGGATTGGCAAACACAAGTACACATTATAACAATAAACAGAACACCTAATGAACAGAACAAAACCCACAGAAGACCCAGCATCAGGTTGTTTTGAGCCAATTATCTTCTGCTTTGAGTCTCTAAGTCTAAGGGTGGGTGTGAAGCAGTCATTGCTGGTTTGGGCTGTTGATTCAATACCCCAACAACACACAGAGGTCCCAAATCTGTATCCTCCAGTCCTCGGTCTCTAGTTCTCAGTCTGTTTCAAGGAGACATGGACTTGAAGCCAAAGTAACACCTCCCCAAGAATAGAGCCCCCTCAAATGCAAGGGCCCATAATCAGTAGGCAAGAGGCTAGCCTGCAGTACCCTCCAAAAGCCCCTGTCCTGGTTGGGCCTGTCACATTGCATAAAGCAATATTTGAGACATAACAGAAAGCAGTTTCTAACTCAACTCTATAAGAACTAGAATTTTTTTCATTGGAATTCTTATTTAATAACTTTTTACTGCCTTCCAATATGGTTCTTCTTAGGACATGTAAGTGTTTTACATAGTCTGGCTGAAAAAAGTCAAAAGTCCATCCAATTCAACCATTAAAAAAAAAAAAAAGTTATAATCCTATACCCACAGTTGATCCAGGAGGAAGAGGAAAAAAACCCAGTAAAAGCATGATCCAATTTGCTCCTGCAGGGGAAAAAATTCCTTCCTGGTCCCCAGAGAGGCAATCGGATATTCCCTGGATCAACTATCTATAAATGTTAGTATCCAGTTATATTGTGTGTATCTAGGAAAGAATCCAGGCCTTTTTGAAGCAACCCACTGAGCTGGCCAGAACCAACTCTTGAGGGAGTCTATTCCACATTTTCACAGCTCTTACTGTGAAGAAACCTTTTCATGTTTGGAGATTAAATTTCTTTTCCTCCAGACATAAAGAGTGCCCCCTTGTCCTCTGTGATGACCTCAGGGTGAATAACTCTACACCTAATTCACTATATGAACCACTGATGTATTTATACATGTTGATCATATCCCCCCTTAATCTCCTCTTCTCAAGAGAGAATAAATTCACAGTTCCTCTAATCTTTCCTCATAGCTGAGCTCCTCCATGCCTCTTATCAGTTTGGTTGCCCTTCCCTGTACTTTTGCCAGTTGCCCAATGTTCTTTTTGTGAATTGGTGACCAAAACTGAACTGCATATTCCAGATGAGGTTTTATTAATGATTTGTACAGGGGTAATATGATATCTCTCTGGAGTCTATATCTCTTAATACAAGAGAGGATTTTGCTCACTTTAGAAACCGCAGCTTGGCATTGCATGCCATTAAGCTTGTGATCTACCTGACCTCCCAGATCCTTCTCCACCATTGATTCCCCCAGTTGTACCCCCCCAGTATGTATGATGCATGCATATTCTTAGCCTCCAAGTGCATAACCTTACATTTATCGACATTAAATCTCATTTGCCACATTTGATAGTTTGAATAAATGCATTTGACGAGAACCACCACAAATGTGAAAATGTTCATGCACATGCAGTCTGTGTCTTTGAAAGTATTGTGATAGTTGCATAACTCCTCCCAAAAGTTAGCCCACAGCTTGCATCAGGGACAAGGGTTCTTGAGAAGAGTACTGAGGAAGGGTGCTGTTATATTTCAGGATTCTGTGTACAGCACCTTGCCAGTCCCTCCTACCAACCATGAGAAGCACAAAGACTCAGGGATGATGTCATTGGGTCTAAAATTAAGTTATTAAAATAAAAAGGTTTAAATTTGTCATTAGCATGTTGGTGATCGAAGGGAAAAGCCTAGCATATTAAACTTCAAATCGGTAATAAACCCAAAAGCAAACATTCATCATATTTCAGCTTACCAATTCTTAGATGTGTTGGTTGCATTAGTTTTCGTCTTAGGCTTTGTCTGGTATCACTGGAGGGTTTTGCTTGGATGATTGGGAGGAGGCAACCATTCTGTCCTTGGGCCTTGCGATTACAGACGTTGAGGAATTTGGGAGACTCGGAAAAAATGCTGCTGTCAGGGGTGTCTTTTTTTCTTTTGCCCATGAACGCAGCTGCATAATATTTAATATGGCAATGCACATGCAGTTAAAACAGAACCTTAAATGAGCTCAAGATGAGTTCTTATCTTGATGGCTCATGCAGATACTGCTGGCCATTACCTCTTCTGACCCAGCAATTAGCTTCCCTACACAGATTCATGCAGGAAAGCTCTGTTTTGAGTCCATTTGTGCATGTTTTTCATGTTATTCAGGAGGCATGTTGCCCATTTTTGCTGGGGGGCTGCCAGGGAATCATTTCCCCTATTCTTGTGAGTAAGCCAGCAGTGGTGAAACGCATCAAGGAAGGTTGGTTTGAGGTTGGAGACATTGTATGCAGTTCACTGATTATTAAAAATACTGCATGAAAACCTAGAGTGCAGCTATTTTTTTCCTATTGCCAGGGAAAGCAGTTGTAGTTAGTGGCCAGTAAATACTTAAATACTTCAATTCAATTTGAGTAAACTCAACTTGAAGCTGGCCCACTGAAAGACGTGTACTGAGCCATTCCATGCTTTACTTTTAGATTTGGTGGAGGGTGCACTTGACAGGGTCGGAACTGTGCCACATGATCACATATAAACTGGCCACACTATTAGAATTTTGTTCAATCTTCTAATGGTTAGTGCGGTGAAATTGATGTTTGCTTTAGACCACAATGGTGAGAAAACTTGAAGTGGCAGGCTGGAAAATTCTTCTTGAATGAACAAATTTCTAAAAAGTATGTGGGTATCATTCAGGAAAGTCAATTAATTCCAAAATCAAAACGTTAAAAGCAAAATAATTTTTTAATTACTTTTAAAAAGATGTTAGTTAAGTCATTGAATGTACTGAGAATATTCAAAAATGTACTAGGTGTGTGGCCAACTTTAGCATTCATCTATACGGGGGGGAAGTATAGTCACATTGTGTCACGGTCAGGGGTCAGGCTCAGAGACCTATAGCAGTAGATAAAAGCTATAGCAGTAGATAGAGAATCCCACTGACCAGCAGGCTAGGTGAACAAGCAGGTCACCATGGCAAGTGAGCTCATCTGAGGTGCAGGGCCAAAAGTACTAACTGGTATTCACCAGAGCTCCTGATGGTAGTTGCAGGTTGGGATCAAGTAGAAGCGTAGTCAAGGAACAAACCAAAAGGTCAGTAATGAGTGGTAGCAAAGATACAGGTGGCAGCAGGATTGACAAGAGCATGATATTGACTGGAGAGAGCACACAGAGTACAAAGTCATGGCTTTAATAGAAAGTCAATGGGAGGAGCAGAGGGTCCAATGTTCAAGAAAAACAAGGTTCAAGGAATTGTCTAAGGGGCTTTCCATCATTCCAGGTGGCTCAGCAAGAAGACATTGCCAGACAAAGCAGATGTTGCAGGTTCAGAACTGGGTCCTGACACATTGATTACCCAGGACAAAGAAATGCTAGTCAGAAAGCCTGGCAATTTATAAAAAAGGGAAAAAAACCCCAAAAAACTATAGAATGTTGACACATTTATGTAGCAAATGTTTTTTTTTTTGCTCTGTATCCTTTCTAAATTTATTAAATATCCAATGATTTGAAAAAAGGCAAACTGAATTGAAAATGAGGATTTTACTTGCAGAATGAGTTGAAATACTTTAAAGAATAGATACAAATAAATGGGTGAAAAATGAGATATATATTTTTTGTACCACTGAAAACATGATTACATGTTCACCCACAAATAATGTTATTGGTTTAATGGGACAGAGCTTAATCCACCCATGTCACTAATAACTAAAACCTGGTACACGTGCCAAAAGTCAGCCTGCTCAGCAGGAACCGTCCGACTTTCCGTAAATGTGTACAGCTGTCTGTTAAACAGAAGCTGGTCTAATGACTTGTCTTGCTGAGCGGTTGGGTGGGGCGGATTAGTTGTTATAGCCAGCATTCGATCAGCGCTTGCAGTCAATGGCTGCAAGCACTCATCAGCGTATTCTGATGGGAGGGTGTCCCCGCTGTCAGAATACAATAGCTTAGAGGGAGGAATCACTGCACCAGACAGTTGTGTTGATGTGGGAATTTGTCAATTCTTTTTTCATTCAACTCACTGGTTGAACAAAAAACCCGGTGTGTATACCCAATTTGATGTATGGGTATCTATAAATACTATTTAATTTGTCCTTGTTATTTTAATGTTAGAGATATGAAAACTATATTAATTTAAAATTAAAAATGTGATAATACATTGTAAAGAAATAAAACCACACCAGTGTCATTTTATGTACTGCACAATACAAAATTATTTATTTTTTAATATAAAATATTGCCCTGTTTTTACCTTGAAAGACATTTTCAGTCATACCAGCCAAAGATTTCATGAATGTTAACAGCCATATGCAAGAATGATGTACTGTTTTCAGCTTGTTTGTCATTTAATAGACCAATTAGGCCGTTTAAAATGACTGTGATACTCAGCTCCTTCTAGACATTTATATTTTTATTAAGAAAGATATGCTCTTTTTATTGTTAATGTCATTATCTTGCAGATCAATGAAAAATTTAATCAAAGGATGCTCTGACTTCTCTTCCATTCAGCGGTTGGGTGGGGCGATAGTTGTTCATCATCCTCAGAGGGACCTCACATTCCATACTACACGAGATGCTTCGAAATTTCTCCATCTATTATTGAAACATTACAAATGGTAAGCTACCTTTAAACCTGAATATTTACTCTATAGTTATAATGTATAAAAATCACACAGCTTTCAATTCTCTGATTATTCTGAATTACAAATCATGAGCCTCTCAGACAGACCTTTTTCTGCCCTGCAAAACCATCATGCACAGACCTGATACAATCTGCTTAAAACAGACCCCCTCCAATATAAAAAACAAGACTATCAATATAGTTATCACATATATCTCTCTCTATCCATTCAGTTGTATCCGACCCTTGGCGATTGCATGGACCGTCACTCGTAAGCGACTTTTTTTCCATGAATTCTCTTAGCAATTATTTTACAGGGTAGGTTGACAGGTCTTTCCCCAAGCCCTACCACGCAGGAAATCCCGCGTGGCATCACATATACAGAAATACATAAAAGTACTCTTACTTGCCTCATTTTTGATAGTTCCTATGTGTGTATGCTCCTTTGCTCATTTTCTGCTTTCTGTGATGGCAGCAGGAAAATGGACAGGGGCAGTGGCACTAAATATAAGCTGGACCACAGTGGTGGTGAAGAGGTTTGGGTTTTTATTTTAATGATATTTAGTATTTTTTACATATACCCAATCTGTTCCTCAGCCTGATCTCCAGGCCAACCAAAGGAATTTTAAGATCAGCTTCCTTAAATGAGACAGATTTATGACCACCCCAATTCACATTCTGGGTGACAAATACCTCTCATCCACCACCTTCTCTACAACTTTAGCCCAAACTATGTAATCCTTCTTATAGGTATATAACAGTACTCACCTGACTCACAGGACCTTCTCTTCAGTCATAAAAACTTTTGTGCAAAACATCGGTTAAATAGACATGTGAAAAAACTATTTATATAATATAATTTAACAAAAAATTGCAGGTATGTAGATAAAATTTTCTGGCAACATTGGTTTAATCAAATTGACAGAAAGTTGAGTGGTCAGTATCACATTTTTCTTAAAGCAGAACTAAACCCACCAATTTAATGGTTTAAAAAACCAGTTACATTCCAGCTTGCGGGTATGTTAACTGGCACATTTGCTTGTGCTGTCAGCCAAATTGTTAAACCATCAAATGGCTGAAGTGATAACTGATCATATGTACAGCATCATGGCAGTTGGAGATCAAGCAGAGACTAACATGACAGCTCCCTTGGCTGAACTTTAAGGTTCCTTTCTTATAACTAAAGGGAGTTTAAGAAGCTTTGCATATCTGTAATTCATTACCTGCTCTGGGCTGACTGTGATTGGCTCTCTGAGAAGCAGCCATGTGACACATTCCTCACATGGAGGGGTTGTGAAGGACCCTTGATATGTCCAGTACTCATGGGATGTGGGAAAAAGAATGGAAGGGTCAAAGTCTGTGAAATGAGCCTTCTTCCCCTATAAATCCAAGAAGACAGAAGTGAAAATATGACAGAAGTCTACACAATGCTAAGTACTTTTCAATAACTATATGTACAAACAGGGCTTGTCGCATGAGTGGAACTGTACCAGATTTTCACTTTTCCCTGTATTATAGAAATGTGTATGGAGGTACATTTGTTAATCCCTTAGCTGCTGGGGCAGGAAATAAAGATAGTACAGACAGGGTCATCTTAATAACATTATGGGCCTCTGGGCAAAGTAATTCACGGGGGCTCCGATCCCTGCCAGCCATCCTCTCCTATTCATTCCATATGATCGGAGCAGTACCCATCCTGCCTACACAAGCAGCAGCAATAGCAAGATGCTCTGCCTTGGAGGTTCTCCCTTTACCTTGCAAAGTGCCAGAAGAGTGCCAGAAACTGCAGGAGGGAAGTAGTAGGGGGGAGATGTAATTCCTATTGTAGATTCAGTCCAATGACAAGAGATATAGCAAACTCACCCAAGCTCAACCATCCATTAATAATTCCCAGCTGGAGACTGGTGCTCTGGCTAAAAATGTCCACTGGTACCAGATATCTACAAGAATATTAGCTGGCAAGTTGATTGCTTCTAAATCCAGGATCATGTACATATGCCTTGAAACCAATAAATAACTAGATTTAGAAGCAAATGAGTTGTTGACTAATATTTTTGTAGATACTTAGTCCAATGATGGGCTGTTGCTGTTCCCGCAGTTCAGATTGCAGGCTGCTGACGGGGACACAACCATCTCAGGACAGCTTAGTAAAAAGCATGACTGTCCTGGCAAATCCAGGACAGTTGGAAAATATGATGTAATGCAAAATTATCATGGGGCCCCCATGCACCTGGGACCCCTGAGCAGTGTCCAGGGGTGCCCATGCATTACGATGACCCTGAGTACAGTTTCCTGACTGTCTCTTAACCCCTAGGTATTGTCCAACTGTCCCTTCTGTTCACTGCAGCACCTTTGCATTATCAGGTGACAGTGGCAATGCCATGCAATTGCTCTCTGCACACCCTAGTGGTGCCTTGGAAACTGATGCATGTGCAGTAGGAGGAACATTAATCTAGGTAATGCAACCAGGGCATGCACTTTGGGCAATCATATGTACAAGCCCTATTGTAAAATATGCTTATGAATGAAGCCACAAGTATCCATCTACCTTGTTTTACTTAGCTTGGCATTTTTACTGGTCTGTTCTGCCTATCAATTTTACAATTACTGTATTTATGTTATATCTATCTTACCTTTGCCTTAATACAGTCCAGCGCCTCTAAAATCAGTTTCAGGTGTGGTTTAGCTTTTCCTATCTGTTGATAAATGCAAATACAGCTTTAAAGGAATGTGCCTAGAGAATAGTCAATATTGAGTAATGACAATGCTTATTTTTATTTTTCTATCTAGAAATAGGCATGGTACTCTAATCTGAGTATTCTAATGTTGGCCATAGACATATGACCAACTTTAAAATGATTGACAGACAGATATGGTAGTACATATCCAAACTTAAAAAAAGTTGACTTTTCTACATGATACTTCTATAACTAGGGATGAGCGAATCTGCCAGGGTTCTGTTCGCCCAAGAGTTTGCTCAAATCCTGGTTGAAATCTGCAAAACCCTATTGGTGAATTGAACTCTATGGGAGTGGAATCTTGTTGGAAGGCTAATATAAAAAAAAAAAGCATCGGAATGGGCACTAATATAGCAGGCAGGTACTAATGTAAAAAAAGTTTTAAAAATACTGTAAAGCAGGAAGTCTCAGCTGGCAGTGCGTATTTTGTGAATTAAATTTCTTTCTGTACATTTAGCTTGGTTTACATATGCTGCACTCAGTGACCAAATTATTAAAAAGCACCATACAACAGAGAGGGTTTTTTCATGCAGCTTCAAGGGCAACATAGAAAATACACAAACCTTTTAAATAACATATGCTTGAGGATGTCTTAAAAGTATACCTGTGGTATTGGAATTGTACAACTGAACTTTGAACTTGGAAAAAAAAAAAAAGTCCCCATCAACAAAAAATAAAAATGGCCAACCCCCAAAAGAAAAAAGACAAAAACACCATCCCTCCAACAAAAGCTAATTTTGTTTTGAAGGAAAGCTTCAAGAAAACATTACCCTGAAAAAAGGTCATATACAAAAAAAAAAAAAAAGAAGAGAAATGGTAAACTGAGCCTTAGGGATAAATATACATTGCAAAATTCTTTGTTAATTCCATTGAATTTAATATGAAAAAAATTACCAAGTCATGGTCCTATTGGAAAATACATATGGTTAGCATTAAGACAACATTGTCTATAGCACATTAAAGCGGTTGTAAACCAGTGAAGAGACACACAGAGAAGGAACAAATCCTTCAATATACAGTGGATATAAAAAGTCTACACAACCCTGTTAAAAGGTCAGGTTTCTGTGATGTAAAAAAACGAGACAAAGATAAATAATTTCAGAACTTTTTCCACCTTTATGTGACCTATAATCTGTACAACTCAATTGAAAAAAACAATCTGAAATCTTTTAGAGGGGGGAGTAAACATAAAAAACTAAAATAATGTGGTTGCATAAGTGTGCACACCCTCTTATAACGGAGGATGTAGCGGTGTTCAGATTTAAGCAATCACATTCAAAATCATGTTAAATAGGAGTCAGTACACACCTGCCATCATTTAAAGTGCCTCTGATTAACCCCAAATAAAGTTCAGCTGTTCTAGTAGGCCTTTCCTGACATTTTCTTAGTCTCATCCTACAGCAAAAGCCATGGTCTGCAGAGAGCTTCTAAAGCATCAGAGGGATCTCATTGTTAAAAGGTATCAGTCAGGAGAAGGGTACAAAAGAATTTCCAAGGCATTAGATATGCCATGCAACACAATGAAGTCAGTCATAATCAAGTGGAGAAAATATGGTACAAAAAAGTGACATTACTAAGAACTGGACGTCCCTCCAAAATGGAAGAAAAGACGAGAAGAAAACTGGTCTGGGAGGCTGTCAAGAGGCCTACAGCAACATGAAAGGAGCTGCAGGAATATTTGGCAAGTACTGGCTGTGTGATACATGTGACAACAATCTCCTGTATTCTTCATATGTCTGGGCTATGGGGTAGAGTGGCAAGACAGAAGCCTTTTCTTACAAACAAAAACATCCAAGCCCAGCTAAATTTTGCAAAAACACATATGAAGTCTCCCAAAAGCATGTGGAAAATGTGTTATGGTCTGATGAAACCAAGGTCGAACTTTTTGGCCATAATTCCAAATGATATGTGGCGCAAAAACATTGTACATCACTAAAAGAACACCATACCCACAGCGAAGCATGGTGGTGGCAGCATCATGCTTTGGGGCTGTTTTTCTTCAGCTGGAACCAGGGGCGGACTGCTCATTTTGAAACTCAGGCACTGCCCGAGGGCCCGGGGTCAGTAGGGGGCCCCATGAGATGCCCCTGGTACCTTTCATAGGCTTTTTTGGATGTGGTTTGAGTGTGGGCGAGGACATAGGGGTCCCATGAGTTGTCAGTCCATCCCTGGCTGGAACTGGGGCCTTAGTCAAGGTAGAGGGAATTATGAACAGTTCCAAATACCAGTCAATATTGGCACAAAACCTTCAGGCTTTTGCTAGCAAGCTGAACATGAAGAGGAATGTATAGGAAGTAGTAAAGAGCGCCTTAGTAAAAACCAACAAGCTGCTATGCACAAAATAGATACCAATGACCTACGGAATAGACAATATATATGGAAGGTGCAGCGCTTATAAACCAAACATATGAAAAAAGTCCCTGATGGATCAAGGGGTAGGGGTAGTCCCGTAAACACAAGTAAATATAATTGGTAGAGGTGACTTTGATATCCGTGTTGAGGTGGTAATGAAGTGCGCACTCACCGGACGCGCATATTATATGCGCTTTATGTGTAATAATCCTGCTGCCAGGTGATAGGTGGTCTTCCCTCTATCGGATCCTAGGTGAGTATTCCTTCTCCTCAGGAGGTCCCCCTATATGGTCCTAGAAGATGTTGTCACTCCAAATGGCCAGGGTGGAATGTGGTAATCCGTTCCTGGAGTGGGTCTGTGGACTAGAGCACTCCCCCAGGGGGCGACAAGAACACTCCCATAGTGTAGTATGTTAAATACAAAAATTAATTTATTAAGGTGTATCAGATAAAAAGATAGCGTTGCAGACAGTAGTCTGTATGAGGACTGACCAGCTGGTAGTTAAAGATGGCCGCCGGAGCAACGTGGACGTCACGGCGTGATGTGGCTCCTCCTGACGCGTATCGTGCTCAAGCACGTCTTCAGAGGGGGGGGTCGCCAATCACGTCGTGTCGTCCTCCGTTCGTATTTATAAATGACTTCGCACATGCGCAGTGGACAGCGGCCATTTTAGAATAGCGCAGAGCGAATTGCGCATGCGCGGGAGTTACGGGCGCCATTTTGCCTTGGTCTCACAATGTGATATAGACAGACTGAGTGTCTGTATATTCAACAGTAAAAATAGATAAAATCCAGCATCCTCTCCCCCAAATCAACGGACATAGTAGAATATAATTAAACAGGCTAAGTGCCTGTATATTACCATTGGGCATATTATTGATGGGTTTAAATAGGAGATCACTCCAACGCCATCTAGTTTTTAAATAAAGAGATGGTAATAGACAGAACAGGTATATCTCCTGAATGTCTATATTAAGTAATAATGGTAAATAGAACTGGTCTATCTTCTGAATAGTAGAACCAGTAAGAATAAAGGGGTATGATATCAAAAAGAGGGGGGGGGGGGGGGAGGGGCCTAGGAGATGTTTAATATAAAAATTATAACAATTATAATGAAAAGGTATATACCCCATTTCCCAAAGACTAAGGGTCAATACGCATGTGCGAATATCATCACCACCCAGTACAAAAGTACTCATATAATAAAATATAATGAAAAAGTAATAAGAAAGAAGAAATAAAAAAGAATCCTTATCAGCATATGTCTCCTATGGAGAGTCATAGTGTGACTATTCCTCATAGCCAAGAGAAGTATATATCCATTGATATGTTAAACAAGAATGAATAGGGTATTGTATGATTAAGAAATTAGTATATAAAAAATATTAAGATCAGATTCAAATACATAGTGAACCCATTGAAATCCTATATGATGTGTTGACATATCATCAACCCATGCCTGAGCCATAGTATGTAATATACACAAAAATCTTAAAAGATTAACATATAAAATATATAATGTAAAAATGGATAAATAAAATTAGAAATTTAAATTTAAAAAATTAAAAATCAGAGTACATATAGGATAGGATGGTAACTAACTATTTTCAATTAAACAGTTAATGTCAACCTCAATATTGAGGCCATTGGGTTTTAAAGAGCAGAGTTCGTATATCCATTTCATTTCTAATTGTGAGACTGCACGTCTCTTATGTATTCCTCTCCAATGGGGTAATAATATAGTTTCAAGGGATTCTTATTGGCATCCCACATATGGTCCACAACCTATGAAACCACCTATGCCCTATTATCAACAGAATACATATCACAATAATTACAACAACTCTAATTATAGAGAGCAACATCACTCACCCAATAGACCTCACAATGGCTCTAAACCTTACAATCAACCATATCGGAATAACCAACCTGGTACGAGGTCTCATAACCATAACCCCAAACCTCCCCCTACTTCAACATATAACCATTACCCCGATAACAACTCTCAGGTTTTTTTTTAGGGGGAAAGAATACCAGAAAAAGAAGCAATTCCACAGGGGAAGGAGGGGAGGAAGAAAGGTCAACAGACACCAGGAAAAAAAGAATGTAGCAAGCGATGGGATTTTTAATCTCAGCAAAACTACACTCTCTCAACAAGAATTACAATTACTGAATAACGGTCTCAAATATGCACCCGATAAGAAACTAGATAAATTTCAAACGTATATAGATATACATAAGTTTTCTAGACAACTATCCTTAAAAAGGTATTTTATCTCTAACCCTATTACTAAGAATAATACCACTGGAACGGTACATTCTAATTTGCGGAATGCATCGACCTACAACCCCCCACCCCAGACACAGTCCTTTGTACAACTATTCAGGGATTTAGCTCTAAAAGACCTGGATAGATTGGCTGTTAAACCAGCACCAAGGACACAAACGACTAAAGCTATTAAATCTCTTCTGGAACACAAAGACCCAGTGATTAGGCCGGCGGACAAGGGGGGGGGGGGGGGGGGAGTTAAAATCTGACTACATCAAAGAGGTATATAAGATCTTAGGTGACACGACAACATATGCTGTTTTACAAAAAGACCCT